TCTTATTCTTTTGTTCTCTGGGTCTCTCTCCTTTTGTAACATGTACCGTATAGAAACACTAAGCCATGTTCTAACTAAAAATCTTCATCTGTGCACAGTAAGAGGTAACAGTAACTGACTATGGCCACCATCTGGGGTGGGTAGTTACTGTAAGCAGGACCATGTCACAGATGGGATACTGGGATTCTAAGACAAAACTCCCACATCCTGCCCCCTGCCTCTTACCCTCCTGTAGCTAGCATCTCCCCAGGAAGAAAACCAGCCCAAGGGCCCCCAGGAGGCCTTGGTGATGGCTGCTATTGCTGGCCCTACAATATACTTCCTTGCTCTCTGCTTTCACAGTGGGCTTCCCATGTGGAGGATGCCACCACCCCTATATAACTGGATCTCATTCACCACTGAAGTAATCTAAAGGTAACCCAACTGTGCCTCCAACCTTCTTGAGAACCCACAGAGTCACTCTGAGCCTTGATTTCTTCACAGAAGGTGGGGGCTTGGCTTGCAGTGTGGCCCAGTAAGGGTTCAGGGCTCGGGGACCCTCCCTTTATAGATGGTCAAGAACAAAATGACCCCAGTGGGGTGTCTTCCTGTCTCTAGGTAATTTTGTACAGATTTCTTCATTTTCCAGAAAGCCTAAGAGGGATAGCAGTATTAGGAACCAAGCAACAGGCCTCCCCATGGAAACTCATACCCTCACTCCAGCTTGCCTTTCTTGTTCTGTTGGCCATTTTCCAACAGAAATGGGGGAGCCAGCTTCTGAACCTATCACTGCCCTCTCTGAAATGGAGATGTGATGGATGGGTGTGCAGGTAATCTAGGGAGGAAGAGCAGCCCAGTCTTTGCCCAGAACTACAAAGTGGCAGTTCTCAGCTGGCCAGAAATTTAAAGAGAAAGAGATGTTGGGACAGGATGGACACTCTATAAAATGCAAAGGCCAGAAAGATTGGTTTGTCAGTCTTGCCGTTTAGTAAGCCAGAGTGCTTCAGAGTCAGACACTTGGAGTCAAGATGGGTTGCAGATTCCACAAGTTCAGCTTTCACTGCAGTCAGATCTTGACAAAGCTGAACTTTTGGGACATGAGAATCCTACCCAATGCCAGCCCTCAGGCTTTTCCTCCCTCCCCAAGTCAGCTTAGTAAAGCAGGACATACTATAGCTTATGGAATCAGTGTGGTTCAGGGGTTCCCTGTTTGTCAAGGTTTGTCAAGGTTCTAGATGAAGTACCACCTGGTACTCAAGGAACCTTAGTTCAAGAGTCCCAAGAAGTTCTACCTCCCCCAATTAGAATAATAGGAAGAGCTTTACTTCAGGCACAAATAATCCACTGAGGTCTCCAAAGTTAGGTCAAGTGCTAAGTTTATTTCTGCAAGTGTATTTTTTCAAGCACTGTGTGAGATGAGAGGATAGGATTGGTAGAGTCCTGTCCCGGGCCTGGACTGTTGTAGCAGCCCTGGTAGGTCTCTTGCCATCCCAGCTCCCAGCTTCTTCTTTAGGAAAAATAATATCATGATCTATGGCTACAGACTTTACCATTCCCTCTCTTTATCCATCCTCCATCCTACCCCATCTTTTGTCTTTTATTAAATACTGTTAATGCCAGGCATGGTGGCACATGCCTTTAATCCCAGCACTTGGGAGGCAGATGCAAACTCTGAGTTTGAGGCCATCCTGATCTATATAGTGAGTTCCAGGTTAGCTGGGACTACAGGGAGACCTTGTCTCAAAAATACCAAAAAATAAAAGAACTGTTAACCTTTAGAAAAAAAATGAATCCTTTACCTCTTAGTGATAGATCTACTTTATTAGTTTTATTGTCTGTGCACCGGCCTGGGATAAAGGTTTAGTTCAGCCTCACTCTGCTTGCTGATCTACTCCTCAGGGGTAGAGCTGGCATCTGCCCTACCCAGCTCAAAACAGAACCTGCCAGTGCTGTGTGTTCAACGTCCCACCTACCTCTTAAGAGTTTGCCCATGAGAGCTTAAGACTCCCAAGTGTTGGGATCTCACATCTCATCTTGGTTTCTCTGGGTCTGTGTGCTTCCAAAGGTAGAAAGTGCCTGTGCTGGATAGCTTAGTGTCAACTTGACACACCTGGATGCCCTACCCAGCTCAAAACAGAACCTGCCAGTGCTGTGTGTTCAACGTCCCACCTACCTCTTAAGAGTTTGCCCATGAGAGCTTAAGACTCCCAAGTGTTGGGATCTCACATCTCATCTTGGTTTCTCTGGGTCTGTGTGCTTCCAAAGGTAGAAAGTGCCTGTGCTGGATAGCTTAGTGTCAACTTGACACACCTGGATTGAGGGAGCCCCAGTTGGGGAATTGCCTCTATTGGACTGGCCTGTGGCCATGTCTTTGGGGCATCTTCTTGATGAGTGATGTGGGAGGGCCCAGCCCACTGTGGATGGTGCCACCCCTGGGCAGGTGGGCCTGTGTTGCATAAG